TTTGTGGTAGAAGATAGGAAGTGGCAGTAGTGGTGAAAGTGGTGGATAAGAGGTGATAATAGTGGTGGTAGTGATGGTGAAGGAGATAAGTGGTGAAGTTGTGGTAGTGGTAGAGGAGATAGAATAACAGTGGTAGATGAGAGGTAATGGTAGTAGTAGTGGTGGTAGTAGAGTGGTAGCGATGATGGTAGTAATGATAGTTATAGAGGTGGAGTGACAACAGTGGTAGTAATGGAATGACATTTGTAGTAGTGGTGAATGTGGTAGAGAAGATAGGTGGTGAAAGAGAGATGAGTGAGAGACAAATAGAGAAGAGAGAGAGAGAGAGAGAGAGAGAGAGAAAGAGAGAGACAGACAGACAGAGACAAAGTGATGAGTGAGAGAGAGACAAAGTGGTCGCTAAAAGTGCATTTTCTTGTAGTAGATAACTCAGTAAATAAAGAAGAGATGAGGGAGAGAGTGAGTAAGGTGAACACAATGGAGAAGAGAGGCAAACAGACAGACAGACACATAGAGAGAAAGAGAGAAACAGTGGATCAATATTTACACAATAGTGGTAGTAGTGGTAGTGAAGTGGTGACGATGGCAGTAGTAATGGGTGAGAGAGATAGAGAGAAGAGAGATGAGCGAAAGAGACAAAGAGAGAAGATAGATGAGAGAAGAGATAAATGAATGAGAGACACAGAGAGAGAGAGAGAGTCAAATAGACAGACAGAGAGAGAAGAGTGATAAATAAGAGAGAGAAAGAAAAGAGAGAGAAGAAGATGAAAAAATGGGTGAAAATATATAGACAAAGAGAGAGAGACAGAGACAGAGAGAAAAAAAAGAGCGAAAATAGATAAATAAGAGAGAGAGACAGACAGAAAGAGATGAGCGAGAGAATGAGAGAGAAAAAAATAAGAGAGAGAGAAGAGAGACAGAGAGAGAAGATATATGAAAGAGATAGAGAGAAGAGAGATGGACGAGAGACATAGAGAAAAAGAGAGAGATAGACAAACAGATAGAGAAGAGTGATGAGTCAGAGTGAGAAAGAGAAGAGAGACAGAGACAGAGAGAAAGAGAGAGATTAACAGAAAGAGAAGAGTGATGAGAGAAAGAGAGAAGAGAGACAGAGACACATAGAGAAAGGGAGAGAGAGACAAACAGAGAAGAGTGATGAGTAAGAGAGAGAAAGAGAAGAGAGACAGAGAGATAGGAAGATGAAAAAATGGGTGAAAAGAGAAATGTTCAAAAGAGTAAGACGACATTGTTTGTAGTGGATCGATAAATCGAGAAGGAGCTCGATAAATAGAGAAGATGAGAGTAAGAAAGTGAGTAAGGCGAACATAGTGAGGGAGAGATAGACAAATAGACAAGTAGACAAAGATAGAGAGAAAGAGAAGAGTGATGAGTGAGAGAGAGACAGTGAAAGAGAGAGATAGACAGAAAAAGAGATAGAGAGAGATGGAGAGAGGAAGAGATAGAAAAAAAGAGAGAAACAAGAGATGAGCGAGAGATAGATAAAAAAAAGAGAGAAATAGAGCGAAAAAAGATGAGCAAGAGAGAGACACAGAAAAAGAGAGAGACAGAGAGAGAAGAGAAATAAGCGAGAGAGATAGAAAGATAAGAGAGAGAGAGAGAGAAAAGAAATGAGAAAGATAGAGAGAAGAGAGATGAGCGAGAGAGATAGAGAGAGAAAACAGATGCGAGAGATAGAGAGAAGAGAGATAGGTGAGAGACACAGAGAGAAAATGAGAGAGAGAAACAAACAGACAAGAAAGAAGAGTGATGAGTGAAAGAGATAAAGAGAAGAGAGAGAGAGATAGAGACAGAGAGACAGGAAGATGAAAAAATGAATAAAAAGAGAAATGTTATATCAAAAGAGTAAGTCGACATTGTTTTTTTAATTTTTTTTTGCGATAGAAAAATACCGTTGAATTTATTCAAATCATTTTGTAACTGTATATATATGAAGCTGTCTAAAAATCACAATCACTATGCTAGGTTAGAATTTTCCAAAAACTCTTTTGAGAAAATTATACTTTCTTGTTTCCGTGTTATATTGTTTTTACTGAATTTTTTTAATATTTAAAGTATTTTTTATAATTTTTAGATACACCTAACATAAATACACCTAAAAATTAAAAAATTGTAAAAAAATCTTTTTAAAATTCACTAAATACCAAAAATACAATAATTCAATACATTTTTTTTTGTATTTTTATGTATTTATTAATTTTTAAAAAAAATCATAATTTTTTTTTTAGATACATCTAAGTAAGGTGCATCTTAAAAAAATATTTAAAATTTTAAAAATATTTACTAAAAAAAAAAAAACACAAAAGTCACTTTTTTGTGACGGTAGAAAATGCTGTCTCAAAAAAACAGAGTATTTGCGACGGCACAATTTGCCGTCTCAAAAATGACAGTATTTGCGACGGTATTTTCTGCCGTCGCAAATACTCTACTTTTTTGAGACGGCATTTTCTGCCGTCGCAAAAAGTGACTTTTTGAGACGGCAAGTGTGCCGTCGCAAATAATTCCGTCTCATAAACCCACTTTTCTTGTAGTGATCTATAAATGTATTTACAATAATGTGATAAAAATAATAGATCTCATATTATTGAGTATTTAGTGGTGTTTTGGAAAGTTAATAAAAAATTGACTTTTTTATTTTTTTGATTTTTTAGTGATTTTTTTAACTAAAAAAATTGACTTTTTTGCATAAAAAAATTTAAAAAATCAAAAAATTGACTTTTCACCGAGTTTCTAAATTGTCCCTTAATCAATAAAAAGCTGACATTTGTTGTATTATATCATTATGGACAAATGTCAAAGTCATATTACATAGGTGGGGTAGGATTGGATAAAACGTTTTGGAGAAATCTCCATAGTAAAGCTGGTAAACTCAAATGTCACTGCTGGAAAAATGACTTTTAAACGCCGCTATATGTATGAAAAACGCCGCTAATTCCTTTAGTGACGCTTATCACCAAACGTCGAGGACGCGGCCGTCGCTATAAGTTTATGACGCTTTAAAAACGTCGTAAAATTAGTATAGGGCCGCTAAATGCGATAAATAATGATAAAATGACGTCATCCAATATTTAGTGACGTTTTTAAAACGCCGTGATAGATTTTTTTATTTTAAAAAAAATGTCCGTTGGCACTGTAGTGGCGTTTTGAAAAAACGCCGTTATAGCTCTTTTTTTAATAAAAAAATTATTCTGAATCTGTTATATTTAACTAAAAAACATATCTGTAATAAAGCTGAAAAATAACAATAATATGAATAAAATTTTACAGCTACTTCAATATATTGACTAAATAAACATTACATGATTGTGTCTGAACCAAAATCAAACAACAAACACAATCAAAAAATAAAAAGAAAAAATAGGTTAAGTCATTTGCTTGCACATGCAGATGCAATGGAATAGTCAAGCATATTACACATCATTACACTGCAGAATAGGGATTCGTATTCAATTAATCATAATAGGTTCATATACAACAAAGACAATTTTGAGCCCAGTCAACACAAAGGAATGCAGAGACCTTCAAAGTTCTTCAACTGAGGCACAATCCTTCTGTATGGAATGATCGTGTTTGAATTTAAAAAAGCGAACAGCGTTGCAGCTTGAAGCAACCTCCACCACAGTACAGGTATGAGGGACAACTCATTATTCAAGGAAAAAAAGTAAACAAAGGAGCTCCAGATTCAAGAATCAATACCATGATGTGAAGCTGCTGCTCGGGTTGTCGCGATCTCTCCTGGTACAGACAAAAGCTGATAGCAGAACTACACAAAAATTTCACTCGAAAGCTCTTGTAACTGAATTTAGACCTTCAGGATGAGCCAATTTATGCATTGCAGTTGGAGCAATCATGATTGGTGCCGAAGTATGGTAACTAAATTGAGGACTTATTTAAACATAATCTAGAATTATTATAAACTCATTGGAACAGAGAGAAAATCATAAATAAGCTCACATGCAGTCCAAACTAAAATTATCCATGTAAAAGTAAAACAATCTCAGACACAGAGAACTGAGTGATTCAAAAATAAATTTCTTATAAGGTTTTAATTTATAATTGCAACAAATAACTATCAACCATTAGATCTGGCTTCAGCATTCACTTAAAGAATTCCAAACCATAAAATACAGGAATTAAATTAAGCTTATCAGTACTACAGTAAACTCTCTTTTCTTTTCTTTTTTTTCTTTCTTTTCTTAACTTGAGTTTGAATAGTTCTGAGAAATCTGTAATATTTCTCCATTTTACAACTTGGAAGTCATCAAACACTATATATCTCTGAAATAGAGAGTACTTTTGTGTCATCAATGTAAAGAGCATTAGGACCAGAAGAAGATTTCCAATGCATAAATGGGCAAAGGATAGAAAATTCAGGCCGTCGCTATAACTTTATGACGTTTTAAAAACGTCGTGATATTAATATAGGCGGCGTTTTTAAAAACGCCGTGAAATGTCCCACTAAACTCATGCTGACGTCATTGGCAACATTTAGCGACGTTTTGGAAAAACGCCGTTATATCTGCTTGCATAAATTTGACCGTTAGTATGTAAGGTTTAAGAGGCGTTTGTAAAAACGCCGTCATATCCTCTTTTTTTTTTTTTTTTGAAATTAGGCTAATTTTATTTGATTGAACTAAAAAAATATAGATCATTCCAAATATAAATAACACCCAGCTCATTAACCCAAATTGTTTAATTCCATTTTATCCACATAATATAAACCATGTTACAATGCTTCCTCCAACAGTTATTTGATGCCACCTTATAATCGTGTTGCACATCAGAAGAAGCCGCAAATTAACAGTTATTACAAACATGGTTTACAATTTTGCTGACATCCCAAAGGCCAAACATCTTGCCATTCGAATCAACACTGTTAGAACTGGAAGTGATCACAAAATTGTATATGACTAATGATTGGTAAATGAAAACAAAGCCAAGGTCACCACAACTCTCCATTTGAAGAAGGTATTTCTTATTCCCTCCTTGTACAACTGGGGGTACTTTTTGGAAAGGGAAGCACTGACATCCTGCCAAAGAACATATGTGATCATTCAGTCACATTTAGATTGGTTGCAAAAATAAATGACAAAAAAACGAAATGTGAAATAAAAATTGTGAAACACCCATAACCAACTTTATCAACCTAATATTGTAAGCAGCAATGGTGCATATATAGCATGCCATGTACCTATAAAAATTCTAGTAGAAAACTATGGTGTTTATAAACTTTTCATTGCTTTTGTTTATAAAAACACAAATAATGAAATAAAAATTTTGAAAAATGACACTAGACTATGTTAAGATGGATGGATTAGGTTTTTTTAAATCAGTATTGCTTAGTGATATTTTCTTGAGTGTGGGACCAACCAATGTAAGTAATACATTTCAAAGCATTGAACTGATTATGGGAAGAAATGAATGAACCCCTGTTTTTTGGCCCACCGGACAGCATATGACAAGCAAAAGCACGGTCAAATACAGATCTGAAAAAGAAAAAGGAATAGGAAGATCACGTTTTCTTCACAATATAATTGCACCACATCTACTATTTATTTTTACTCTTTTCTTTTATGCAGAATTGTTAAAATTTGCAAAATTGACCATTATTTTATTAGTATAGTATCATATATTTGTTTATTATCTTATATGAAACATTCAAAATCTAAAGTCAAATAATTATTATATATACACACCCACATATAAAACAACATGAATGTTCACAATATATTGGTTCAGGAAGACAATTTTAGATGGTTACGTAACAGGTTTCCGATATAGAAGACAGTACAGATAAATTCTAAACTGGAAATCTTATTTATTAAAATAAAAGCTAAACTTACTTACTAGCATGCTTTCTAGCATGTCTCACTCTATCACCACTAAAATAAGATGACCAAAACTATTAACAATTAGCAAAATCCTTCCTTTTACTGGGCTTGGCTTATACAGACTTGGATCTGCAAATATGGTAAGGAAATCATAATTGCCCAGCGACATATAATCTTACATTCTGCACTTTTGGTGCCTAAAAACTACCAATCAATGTTTACTCAAAATGGAGCTTTCATATATCTTTGCAAAGAAGTCAGAGAGAGAGAGAGAGAGAGGTCTACCTGCCAACGAGAAATAGGTAATTTTATGCTTAAATGGGATAGACCTCCATTAGCCTTCCCAAGATTGCCCTCACTATGTTCAAAATCAATGGGATTTACTTTATGAGGCATAGTCGAGGACCCAATCTCACCAGCCTTAGTTATCTGGTTGACATTTGAACTTGAAAAAACATAAGTTCTAGCAGAGGAAAACCAGTAGCAACATATTCACAAATATATCAGAAAGTTCACCTGCTTGAAGTAACCTAAAGATACGTAGCCCCACATGTCCCTATCAAAATCAATTAACTAACTGGCAGAACATGGTTAAACTATGAAAGCATTAGCTAGAAGATAATGACCCGAATTCTGAATTTTCAAGGAACACATATAAGTGATGTCCTCTATCACAGTTTAATATGGATGAATTAATTGTTAGATAAAAACAATAAGGAGCAAGGACGTGATAAAAATTCGGAAGAAAGTTCACTAATGAGTAACTAATAGGTAATAAAGACTACTGACTTCTCTAGCTTTGTACATAGAGCAGCCGTGTAGTGGATGGTAGGTCTCTACGAGCCAACAGGTAGCATATCAAAAGGATCCATCAAAATGTGATTACTGATTGTTAACTTAGAACTTGCTGATAAAACTTCTAAAAATTACTCTGGTCTGTGAAGAATTACGGAGAAACCTAATAAACCTTAAGTGAGAAGGAATTGTTGTGGGGAGAAGTGTTTGTTAACAAATCATTGATCATAAATTCACACATGTTATATCTGTGAAATTTAGGGAAAAGAACACTGTGGAACATGAATTGGCAATTCTTATACAGACCAATTCTACAACCAATGGTGTGATGAATCACTAATCTAGATAACATTCTGTTCAAGTTAAAATCATTTGATATTCAGCAAAAATAGGTGTAAACACATTCTTGGAAATTTTTTGAGAAACATGCATCTTAGTATCTTACAACAATAGTAACAATAACCATTTTGTAAGATGGCTGCCATTTTGCTGAATAAACCCCCAACAATTTCTAATGCACTTCTTACTCTTTAACACGTGGATACTATTCAATTACAATGAAGTGATCAATATGCCTTTTAATTCTCATTAAGCAGACTAGTTGGTACAGTTTTAAGTTATTATCTGTTAGTAATTCCCAGAATTGGGAAAAAAACACTCAAACTAATAGAACGAAAAAAAACATATGTATGTGGGTAGAATCAAAGTCCTAAGCTCCTAGTGAGATGCACTAGATGTAGAGGCTCAGATCACCAAGTCAACCCCTTGAATATCTGTCGGTCTTTCTCATAATTGATTATAAAGGAAATGAATTTGGAGCTGGCCTTTATAATAATGGGCAAATCATGAATAAAGTTTGTACGCAATAAATAATTATTTAGTACTACCAGAGCCCGAACTCAACATGTTGATATAATGCTCTCAAATCAATAAGAATAGTAATCATGGAATTGATAGAGCCAACCTAAATGACCTTCTATTTATTTATTTATTTATTTAAATAACTGGGGTATGGATAAACTTTTTTCTTAAATTACATTAAAATGCGATTGCTAATCAGCCTGACACAACATCATCTAAACTACATTTTTTTTTTCTTCAAATGTATATTCAAGTAAAAAAATATTAGTAATAAAAAAATATATGATTTCCGAACATGCTTTAATGTAATTTGAGAAAAAAAGTTATCCATAGTTATTTAATTTTGAAATTATTAAAAACCAAAAAAACTAAACAGGTCAAAGACCAGTGGCATTATTCAAGATAGGCAAGCTATTTTCACAAAAGGGTAGCATTCAGGTGGACAATACTCTCAAATCTTGAATATGATCAGTGAATCAGTGATTGATTGTTTTGCAATACACTGCAAATAATAAATAAAATAAACAACAAAAATTACCCATTTGAGTTGTCCAAAAAGCAGAGGATCAGATGCCAATTCCTTCATTTTAGCAGTTCTTGGGTGATGATACCACATAGTCCCATCCATGAACTGCAAACCGTTGGATTCACAGGCATCCAATATCTGATCAAGCTCCTCCACATCAAGAGCCGTCGGTTTCTCCATCAGCAAATGCTTCCTCTTCTGAGCAGCCAAGACTGCCCACTGCACATGAAGGCTAGTTGGCAAAGGCAGGTACACAACATCAATCCGTGGATCGTCTAGCAACTAATCATAGCTACCGTATATCTTAACGGTCTCCGATAAGCCATTTTTTACGGCAAATTGTTTCGCTTTTTGGAAAAAATCAAATTTAAGTCAATACCCAAATTAACCCATAGACAGACTGAATTTTAAATTGTGGTTTGTTGCAGGCAATGGCACAGTAATTACTGATTACCCATTGAAACTGGTTTTGAATTTTGATAGCCAGACAACCAAAAAAAAAGGGTTGATTAATGAAGAAGAAAAAAAGCAAGAGAATGTAATGTATAAACAAGTTATCTAATGGAGGCATGATATCCAAACAGTTTTAGGAATCCATCAATAAAACATTTTTCGAGCATTAGCTTGTCAGGCACAACTTACCTATGGGAGACTAAAGCCAAAAACTTGAGATAGTACATGAGGGGAACTCATCAAATAGGGAGCAAAATTTACATTCTTTAAAAACACAAAGTAGTCTCAATATGTGAGCAACACCTTTATTGAAGTTCTCATATACACACCCAATAATGTCAATAGAATGACTGTTAGTTTAGTACAAGCATAAAAGACCAACCTCAGTTAATGTCTGCAGATGAACATGCTTCAAACCTTGATAAATTCCAATGAGGTCGATTGCTGAGAAGATTGGGTACACGACAAAAGGCAAACTTGCTTGCAACCTTTCATATTAATGAAAAATTATCAGTTAGGAGCCAAGTAAAGCACAAGTGCTAGCATCACATCAGCAAATTGGATACATTACATCAGTTAAAAAGTCATAATTTTTTTATACCTTTCGATCACATATTCATGGGGAGCACAGGTAATATAAAAGAGAAAATTTTAGCAAACTAATCAATATTAAACATATTGCAATATAATGTAAACAGGGGAAAAGAATTCTACAATGTCGAATTGCAGCAATAAGATGTACAATATGGTCAACTTAGCTATCACAAAAGGATGGGACGATCATTGAATATCAATTTGATGAAGATTAACTGTGGCACTATGGAACTAATTTAAAATCTGAAGATGAAAAGTAAAAACCTTAGATTGTTTCTGAACAAAATGTTCAAGGCTGCGGCAAGCATAAGACCAAGGCTATCGAAGCACACTGTTTGAATCTGAAACCCAACCAAAGATCATTTCAGTTTATATAAATATGATACTAAGCACAATACACTGAATATGATAGGAAAATCTATAACCTGTGCCTTCGCAGAAACTTCACCAAGATTATCTGCTACTGCAAAACTTCGATGAACAGCAGTCTACAAACCAAATATGACAACATTTAGACTCCATGTAATAAGGTGAAAGCCAACTTTATGCTTATCCAACGAATAAAATTCTGAACATCAGACCGCTCAGAATTAGAATTTATCTAACAGGTAAATCAGCTGAAAACATTCATATCATATCATTAACAACTAAAAATCCTTGAGGAATGAAGCATTTGCATTGACACTGATGGGAAGGCAATAACTGTCCTGTGAATTACATATATGACTGTCCAAGAAAACTGTTCAGAAGAAATAATTTAAAAGACTTGATAGAAAATGGCGCAGGGAATAAAAAAGTTGTTACACAAATTGATGAGGTTTTAGACTTACACCAGTTGCCAGGTAGCATGCTAGGCTTATTTGTTTAGCGATGTTTGCTATAGATGCAACAAGCAAGAAGTACTGGGGAAATGCAGGAGTCAGCAACTCAACCCCAATGCTCAGACTGAATAGCACAGATGTTGAAGACCTAACTCTCTCCAAAGGAGAAAATAATTAATTAACAATTTATTAAAATCTAGTTATCAAATTATAGGGAACATACTCTGCATTGCCTTGCTTTGTAATTCTTTTGCAGTTACCAATTTTGCCACTCCATAATATTGTATTTCAGATTTTCCAGTATTTCTTTTGGAATATAGAGAGTTATTTTTGTCTGAATCTAAGTAATGAAGTGTGGTAATTGGTACATCATATTAAAGAATTTTTTTGTCCAAATCCAAAAATGAACTGTGGCGATTAGTAACTGCAAGACATGCCCAAAGAAATGTGCAAAATTGTAATTGCAAACATAGAGTATATGTGACCCCTCAGTTTGGTAGGAATCAAAGTCATACCTTCAAATTGGTATCAGAAGAAGATGCTAGGCTAGCAGTGTAGATGCACCTACTGAGCCTTCCAAGCCCATCTTTCAAGACCCAATTCAGGGCAGCGGCTGATGGAAGTGAACGAGAGTATCCAATTCCAATTGCTCGAAACATTGCCAATAAAAAGTAGGTGAAATAAGAATAAAATATACTTACATTTCACCTACTTTAACACACATTTTTCCTTTCCATTTTCAAATCCCTCTCCAAATCCCCCAACCAAATGCTGCATAATTGTTTCCAATTAAGCATTTTCTCTCAGTTCATTCAAGTTTCTTTCGGAATCACAAGGAAAAGAAAGATCAAAGATGTCAGTGTCTGTTCTCATATCTGTTGCTCAGGGTATCCTGAATTCCTTGATTCCACTAGCAACTGAACAGATCAAACTGGTTTGGGGTTTCAAGGATGACCTGCTTGAAGATAGGTTGAAATTGACACAAGCTCTGTTATGTGATGCTGAGAACCACCGGGGACAGGTAAATCTAAAAACCATGCAAGTTTGGCTGAAGAAACTCAACTCTGTTGCGTGCAATGCTGATGACGTGCTGGATGAACTTGCCTTTGAAGTCCTTCGACGAAAGTTAGAGGTACAAAACCGATTCATGAGGAACAACAAGGTATGCAAGTTCTTCTTCTTCTGCCTCTCAAATCCACTGCCATTTCTTTTCAAGATGGCTAATAAGGTCAAGAATATCAATTTGTTGTTAGACAATCTTAAGAAAGATGCAGAAGGCATTGGTCTTAGACCAGCTGATCAGATCTTAAACGCTAGTACTAGTGTTGAATCTTTACAGGTTTGTAGAGAATGTTCTTGAAATTTGCGAATTTTGATTCCGTCCTAAAAAATCATCTATGGGATTTGATGAAATGACATGTTTCAATTTTGAACAAATGCTTTTTTGATGCTCCAATTTTAACTAATTCCATTTTAGCTGATGAAGCTAAATGATCTACATTTCACAATGAGATGGTGCCCTAACTGTGGGTTCCTGAGAGCATTGCTTTTAACTGAGCTATGCCCAATTAAGCCATTGAAAGTTGCATATAGCTTCAGAAAACATGTATAGAGGTAGATTGAGTTAGGAGGCAATTAAACTAACGATGGAGTTGCAACAACAATCCTCTTGGAGGATTGAAATATGTATGTAGTTCTAGTTTGGAGTTCAGATCATATGATTAGTTTAATTCAATTTCAATTTTATCTGTTGTTGATTATCGATGTTCTTATACCAGGTTAAACTTGTATGGGGCACCTAGATTTTTGTACCAATTTAAGTCACTATCCTGGTTCTTGAGATGATAGAACTACATAACTATAGTAATTGTACATATGTTGTGCTCTCATGTTAATCAAAATTTAATTTTATAGATTTTTTATCCATCCTAAAAAATGATCTATAGGTTTCATTAGAATGTTTCTGAAATTTGAGGATTTTGTATCCATCCTAAAAAATCATCTATAGGTTTGATTAGAATGTTCCCGGTATTTGAGGATTTTATATCGCTTCTAAAAAATCATCCATGGGATTTGATGAAATGATATAATTCAATTTTGAACCAATGCTTTTCAAATATTCCAATTTCAAATAATCTCATTTTAGCTGCTGAAGCTAAATGATCTAAAACTCAGAATGACGTGGTGCCCTAACTGTGGGTTCCTGAGAGCATTGCTTCAGATGACATGTCCTTAAACACGGATTTTCCATGCTATCTTGTATATCACTAATTCTAAAAGCCATAGTGCTTCATGCTACCTAGAGTATGCAAAAGTCAGTTGAGTTGAGTTGACATTTCCAATTATAACACTTTGGTCAGTCATATTGATTTGTTGCATGTGCAGAGGTAGTTTATGCAGGAGGCAATTAATCTAATGATGAATTTGCCACAACATTCCACTTGGAGGATTGAATTATGTTTGTAGTTTTGTTTGGAGTTAAAATTGTATGATTCAGTTCAATTCTATTTTAATTTTATCTGTTAATGCCTGTCTTTTCTGCAAATTGGCTATATATGTCAGTTTCTTTGTTTTGAGACACTTCAATATATGATCTGTTACTTGGAGCATCTAACAAATTATATGTAGCATTCTGTTGCCTTTTTTTTTTTTTTTTCGTTTGTTTAATCTTCAAATCAAGTTTGGTTCATGTACAGAGTTAAATAACCCATCAAGTCATCTCTAACTCATCTACAAACTTGTATTCATGTACAGATTATTTTGCATGTGAAACTTGTATTCATGTACAGATTATTTTGCATGTGAAGCCAAAAGAATAATTTTGTCTATAGTTTTGTCACAAAGATCATGTGCAGCACAAAATTTGCAGGTGGTATTCTCCCTCTATCCCTAATGGATTAAGTATGGCATTCTTATAATTAGGAAGTGCTAAATCTTTCTTTAATGAAAGAATTGGCACGATCACTATCTGATATTTGAATTGAATTAAGGTAGCTTGCTGGAAATAGGTGCTTGAGCTGGAACTCTCGCATCAGTTGGATCAGCTTACGCTATTGGAAGGGCCAAGTGCTTTTGAGTTAGCAAAGCTAAAACAAACATGAAAAAAATCAAGTACAGCTCAAGATTTGCGGTTGGTGTTCTAATTCAGTCTGTTTCAGAATCTAATATTTGTGTTACCCAATCATTTTGATATTCCCATTTCAATTGGGAGCCAATAAAACATATGAAAATTGCATATTCGATGTCTTGAATTTTGAATTATGTGAAGCTTACTCTTGGATCTTAGTTTAAAGTGTTGGAACAATCTTCTGTGTATATAAAATAACTTGAAATAAACTCAAACAAAATAAATAAATAACATACCAGATTTATTTATCGAAACGAATTAAAATTAAGACCAAGTCGAGTGTGTGACACTCTGTCCTTAAGACAGATTCGCCCCGCTACGGTGCTTACGGTTGAGTAGCGTCTATCTCCCAGGATACAATGATCTTCACAAAATTGTTGTAGCACTTCAAACAAATTTGTTCGGCGAACCAAACATGTGTTCTAACTCTTTGAATATTTATTCTTAAATCTAAAATGAAGAATAATGTACTAAAAGTAATTTGGACAGCCAAAAAAAAAAAATATGAGACTGTTTTTTCGGATACCTAAACTGCTGGAACATATGTGTATTTATAGGCAAAATCAATAGACCCGAATAGGTATAAACAATGGTTCAACAGGTGCCACCTGATTTGAAATCATTTAAACAATGCAAAAAAGAATTCGTTAGAGACAAAACACTTTCTTTTTCAAATTGTTTACCGTTGGTGACCAAGTCAAACCGGTTGGATCAATATTTATTTAAACTATTTCAAATATATATATATATTAAAATAATTGAATATATATATATATATGTATCTATATATATATTAAACTATTGAAATAGTTAAATAAATAAATGAAGAGGTAAAAATTTTAGGAAACTTCTTAGGAACCTAAAATTTTACTTACCGTCTATAATCCAGATTGGAAGGCATTGTCCGGGTTTATAGAGATCATTATGAATCTGATTTAAATAATTTAAACCGTTTATTTTGTTAGACATTTCTTCTATATCATCCACAAAGAAAATTAATTTAATTTGATAATCGCAATTTATTTAATTTATTACATTTGTTACAAAAAATGAGTAGATTATTTTTTAAAGGGGGAATTTTATGTCAGAGAGATTTTCAAAACTTAATTACAAAATAATGAAAAAATTTATAATTTTACTTTTTAATATTTATAATTTTTTGTAACTCATCTGAAATATATTTTTTTTAAATCTTCACCTAAATGTAGTTTTTTTTTTAATTTTTTAAAACACAATTGTCATTTTTTTATAGTGACAAACGTGATAAATTAAATATGTTATTATTATCAGATGAAACTAATTTTTTATATGAAATACATAAAGTACTTGATAAAATGAACAGTTTAAATTATTAAAATAATATTTATGATAGATCGCACGAGCCTAAATAGCACCCTCAAATCTAGAGTAGAGGGAATTCACCTCCTTTTTTATACGACATTTTAATTTTCTAATTTTGTTTCTTTTTTAACTTTTTAACAAAGATCTATTACTCAAAAGGATCCCTATATTTTGCTCCGATGCCAAATAATAGTGTTACTTGAATTTGAATTTTTATTTATTAAAATAGTGAGATGTACATATGTCTCCTTATAAGACGCAATCGGATGACAGTAAAACGTAAAATATTGCGGATTGTTTGTTTGTAGAGATACCTTCTCTTTATTCTGTTCATATTCGTGTATATATATCTATGTTGTTTAAAGTATTCGTGCTGGCTATTTGATTTGTTTGGGTTGACTCCGAAACTTTCAACACTTTCCACTTCAGAATCGGTAACGTCTAGCGTTGAAATTCATCAATCTTACACAGTATCTGATTTCTAAATTATATTGTCTGTTTAGATTTGAAGTTAATAAACCACGATGAAGAGGTCATGGCCGTCAGAGATACAGGCTGTGTTCTAGTTTATTTTATTTTTTTCATTTTTCTTTACAAGTGAGTAAAGATTACCCCACTGTCATGTCATGCTAATGCTATTGTGATTCCTAAAAATTGATATTTAAACTCAAAAATTATATTTAGTTTTCAAACTTAGTAGGCTGACAATCAATTAAAATATCAAATGCATCATTTTCTCTTTTATTTTTTTATAATTATCAATCAACAATCTCACTTACACATTTATTAAACCTAAAAAGTGAATATAAAAAATTGAACTTTTATGTCATTTTGCATCTTGTAATATTGGAATTTTTGTGTAAAATTTCACATCATAATGATATACTTTGATACGTGAAGGATAAAGATGATCTTAGTTTAATGGGTATAATAATGTTAATCTTTAAAAATGTTTGAGATTTTCACAAATCTTTCATAATTTAACTCATAAAGATATAATCTGATAAAGTCAATTTTTGATTGATTAAACACTTAATGAAATAGGACTCACCATCCTTACTATACCATTGTAAATACATTTATAAATGTAAAATGTGAGTCACAACATTGTTGATAAAATATACTGTATTAAAATAATACAATCATTATTTCAATTCCTTCATTATAGGTAAGCAAGTCATCACATCACCAAGCCATTTTTTTTTCCAGTAATAGTAGGTATCATGAAAAATCTTTTATGAAAATAATCATGAAAGTTTTGTAATCCTTGAATTACAATTAGAATAAAGCACCATACATTAATCAAGATAATCTAAAAATCATAAATTTTTCATGATCATTTTCATAAAAAAAAATTACATAATCCCTAACTTTTCTCCAAACATAATATAAACTTTTACGTATGTCTCATTTCAAGTTCTATTTCAAGTTCCAAATTACACCCCCCAAAGAAGAAAAAAATGTCATTTCTCCTCCCACCTTATCTCTTCTTCTTGGGTTCTCTCCGTTTAATTCTCGCCTACGAAGACCCGCGCGGTACTCTCTGCGGTATTACTACAACCTACACATCCAATTCAACCTTCTCCACCAATCTCTCCCGAGCACTGGCCACTCTCCGCAACTCCACCGTCGCCACCAGCTTCAATGCCGCCACCATTCCATCAACAACATGACAGACCCCGTCACCGCCCTCGCCCTTTGCAGCGTAAACTTGTCCTCATCGGACTGCCAAACTTGCGTCAACGCCGCCACGTCACGCATCCTCCAGGCATGTCCCAGTCAAACAGTGGCTCAAGTTTGGTATACATTGTGCATGGTACGCTACTCTTCCGTTAATTTCATATCCAAACCAGACTACTCTATCGGCTTCATGTTATACGATGTGCGCGATGCCCCTGATCAAAACGATTATGATCCGAAAGTTAGGATGTTAATGCAGAACCTGCCATACACTGCCGGTGTATCTGATCAGAGATCTGCGGTTGGGATGACTCATATGGTTGGCAACAGGACTATCTACGGTTATGTGGATTGCACACGAGATGTGAATGGTCAGGATTGCACCACGTGCTTGTTGGGCGCTACTGATTCAATACCGTCTTGTTGTTTAGGCAAATGGGCTGGTTGGATTGCTACTCCTACTTGTAACATACAGTTTGACATGGACCCGGTTCATGATGATTGGATCAATCCACCAGAAATTGACACGAATGTGCGGACCGCCACAGCGCCGGTGACTGAGCCATCAGCTCCGGCGCATGACGGTGGTTTAATGTCTTCTGGTGGTGGCGGAGGAGATGGTAATAAAGAGAGAAGTATCATATTGGTTGTTGCGGTGGTTGTGGCATTTATTCTGGTAGTTGGGGTGGTTTTGGGGGTTAGATGGAGGAGGAAGAGAGATGACAAAATGGAGAAGACGATGACGATGGAAGAGGAGTGTTAGTAATGGGTGCCCTTGTGACATGACCATTTGAATTTGAATTTGAACCTTATTCAAATAGTTTTTGAAATTGAATTCAAACCTATTTAGGATAACCATTCAGGATACAGATATAATAATAACATATTATATATCTGAAATATGGGTTATGGGTGATCAAGAGAAAAACAACGTATGATCTGTTTTCTACCCATATACTGACTCTCTCCCAAAAACAACGATCAAGTCATTTGTACTGTGATTTGTGTGGGTGATATTCAATCTGTGATATCACTTCACTGCTGGGTTAGTTTATCAGACTCTGGAAGCACGTGATTTATCCACGAGGTTCTATCATCAAAAAGGTATGATCTAAACATTTTATCCGCTGCATAATTTATACTTTGATTTACAAGGAGGATAACAGGTTCAGATTCTTCTTGTATGATTTAGATGTGTTGGTGGCTGCAACTGATAATTTCTCCTCTACAAATCGGCTTGGCGGCGGAGGGTTCGGCTCTGTGTACAGGGTAAGGTTAACTTTTTTCTAGTTACCTTAAATTTATGTAATTAAATTTTATTTTAATGTGAAATATGTCAATTTCATTGTGTTCGATTTTTTTATTTTAAACATATATTTTTTTGTCTTAGGGACGAGTACATTCTGGTGAAGAAATAGCGGTGAAGAAGCTCACAGCGGGTTCAACGCAAGGAATGAAAGAGTTTTTGAATGAAGTCAAATTACTGCAGAAAATACAACACAGAAATCTAGTGTGGCTGCTCGGCTGTTGCGTTCAAGCGAAAGAGTTGATGTTGGTTTACGAGTATTTGCCTAACAAGAGCCTCGACTACTTCCTCTTTGGTAAAATTAATTGATTGTTTTCCACTAAAATTAATTTCCAATCAGTAAAACATAAAGAATAAAATGTTGACAGTTCATCTCTATGTTATGATCCGTGTGCTTATATAGATAAGAGTAAAAGCGCGTTGCTTCATTGGGCAAAGCGTTTCAACATTATAACGGGTGTGGCACGTGGGCTTCTATATCTGCACGAAGATTCTCAACTTCGAATCATACATAGAGATATCAAAGCAAGCAATATCTTGCTTGATGAGCAAATGAATCCAAAAATATCAGATTTTGGGTTAGCAAGGCTGTTTAATGATGACCAAAGCCGTCTCAAAACTCGCCGGATTGTGGGGACATTGTAAGTGTCTGTTGATATGAAAATTAACAAAAATAAACTTTTTTAGCTCGACTACAAAAAATGTAAATGTAGTTTTTCATATTCAATTCTGTACCAATGATTACAGAGAAAGCTCAGTTATTTAAAACTTAGATAGTCATTCCTATGCTTCGTCGAATTAGGTAGGATCAACATTTATTTACTTAGTGTTGTGTGCATGTAGTGGCTATATGCCTCCTGAGTATGCAATTCGAGGAGTGGTATCAAACAAGACCGATGTCTTCAGTTTTGGAGCAACCAAATATACCACGTGAATCACAACGCGGCATAGAACGCGTTACCACTTTGACCCGAGTAAATTGACACTCGGGGCCCACCTAAAAAATAGACCTAACTTAGGAAAAATTTACCATTTCCAACAATTTGTATTGTTGCAGACAAGGAGGCTAAAACTAGAAGGCCGACTAATGGAGCTAGTAGATGTGACAATGGGTTCTTTCCCTCAAGCCGATGTATTGAGATGCATCCAAATTGGATTACTGTGCTGTCAAGAGAGTGTACTAGATCGGCCAACAATGTCTTTGACATTGATTATGCTTACGAACGATTTAGTTACAATGCCTCCTGAAGGAAGGCTTGCCTACCAACAGGATAGTACGAATCCCATAGACCGGAGTTTTTCCAATAATTCAATTACCATTTCATCAGCCAATGGTAGATAGATGATGTAGCTGAATATTTGTTAGGAATGATTGGTTTGTTATTTGTATACTAATTTACTTTTTTATGTTACTCTGTTTTTGATAGATCAAACTAGTATGTTTGAAACTCTTATCAATATTCTTGAAACAGATTCACATCAAGCTTCTTTTCTTTTCTCTTGTCACAAAAGTCTTCGGAGCAACGTCCAAGTCCGATCTCCAAAACAATAATTTGTTGTCATAGGCCCAGAGTCAACCGTTTGCTTAAGGACTGTTTAATATTATTTTTAAATAGTTTTATGTTGTCAACAATACTAAAAAAGCATACTTAATTATTCAGAAATTATTATCTTATAATTCAAATTTATTCTACATATGGACACGACACTATACAAACTTAATCTTCATCACACAAACACCAACTCAAAAAAATCTGGGTTGGTAAGTTTGGGTTACCAGACTTTTTGTTTTTGTTCTCCAAATAGAATGAATGAGAACTTCATGGTAATTTGAAAAATTATTTTCATTGAATTTTTTTTTTTAAATACCCCTTTTTAAGAAGGGACAATTACAAATTAAAAAAAATAAAAATGACATCCATAGAAGCAATTTATGCTTAGATTGTGCTACTAAGTCTTATACTTCTATTTTTTTGCAATGATTTTTAATTTATACTTTTCCATTGCAATTGTCCCTTTTAAGAAACACTTTTAAGTAAAGAGGATTTGCAGAACTCAGGCACCAACTTGATTTTAAATTTTCAAAAAATATTTTTACTCAAAAAAAAAAAAAAATGACGCATTTTTTTTAATGTGGAAATTTATAATTTTGTTTCTCAAAAAATTAAAAAAAATAAAAATAAAAATGACATCCATAGAAGCAATTTATGCTTAGATTGTGCTACTAAGTCTTATACTTCTATTTTTTTGCAATGATTTTTAATTTATACTTTTCCATTGCAATTGTCCCTTTTAAGAAACACTTTTAAGTAAAGAGGATTTGCAGATTTATACTAAATTCCAGGAACTCAGGCACCAACTTGATTTTAAATTTTCAAAAAATATTTTTACTCAAAAAAAAAAAAAATGACGCATTTTTTTTTTAATGTGGAAATTTATAATTTTTGTTTCTCAAAAACACTAGAAATAAAAATCATTTTAAATTTTCAAAAAATATTTTTAATCAAAAAAATAAAAATTATGCTTTTTTTTTTCTTCTTTTTTTTTTTGTGGAACTTTATAATTTTTCTTTCTCAAAAACACTAGAAACAAAATCATTAACAATGAAAATGATACCAAAAGACACACTATGCCTCCATTTGGGAAGTGGGTTGGTTTTTTGGCTTTTTAGCTTTTTTGGCTATTTAGCCTGGGCTAAAAAGTTTGGTATGGGAAGGGCTTTTTGACTTTTTGACTTTTTTGACTTTTTTTGTGAGAGAAGAATGTAATGATTATAGGTTGGATGTGATATTTTATTTTTTGTGGCTAAAATAGTCTATTTTGTCTTTTGTGACTAAAATAGTCAAAAAAGCCCAGTTTAGCTCTTGCCAAACGGAGCCTATATATAACGATTAATGCTAAAATAGCCTAAACTACTTTGTTCATAGTGTGACATTTATGAGAACGCATACAAAAACGTCTAGCTTCGCTCTAGTTGGGTGAGAAAACTGGATCATATGCTATTAGGTCCTTATAAGTCCATTTATTTTTAAAGCTCCTACGTATAGATCATTTAAAAAAAAAAAAAAAAACGGACGATTAATTCGATGCCATATGATTTAATTTTTTTTCATTAAAAATCTAAACATAAAACCTAAAAATGAACAAATCAAATCTTTTATATACATCTTGTAATGAGCCTACAATCCATTCTTCGCTTGCAACTGGAGAGAAACTGGAGCCATACAAAATTAGGTAACTTCTAACCCTCTGCAATTTGGTAGAACACTAGAGAGCGAATTGTAAGATCTAAAAAATTCATTACAAATATATGGACTTAAAAAAGTATTGACCAACAAAGAAGGATACAATCTTGTATCACCCCATCAATAATTGAAGTCAAGTGTTTTTTTTTTTTTGAAAAAAAGGGCAAATTACAATAGTGGTTTTACGTTTTACCCCTTGTGTCATTTTAATTTTTATATTTTCAATTGACTCAATTAATTTTATATTTTGTGTCAATTTGATCCAATTGATAATTCCGTTAGTATTTTTGATGAAAAATAATCACTAAATTGGTTGAGAGTAACTCACTAAAATTTTCAGCTAAAGGAAAAAAAAAAGAAAAAAAAAACTCACTGAGTTGAGTAAGTTTATAATTTTACCCTTAAAAATATGACACATGCCACTTATATGTGTATTTTTCATAAAAGAATGATAAGAGCTATTATCAATTGGATCAAATTGAGACAAAGTCATAAATTTGAGATCAACTAGAATTATAGAGATAAAATGACACAAAAGTTAAAGTATAGAAACCATCATCGTAATTCACCCTACAAAAAAATAAAAATCTCCCTGTTGTTAGACAATTGGAACTCTAATGCTTCAGTCACTATACACGAAAGAAAGGTAGTCATCAAATCAGGAACGGAGGAAGGCCAAAATAAAGTGCACAAGGTTCTCCATGTTACGGGATTTAGGAAGTGTCAAATGTGTACAACCTAATTCTTATGTGAAGAGAATATTTTTGTGATTTGAATCTATAGTACATAAAATTAAACCAACACAATTGATGGCATTACATAATGATACTAATGGGCATCTAAGAGGGCCCAACCCACGGATCAGGGCCCAATTCATATCCCAGTGATTAAAGCCCAACAACTCTGATAAATCAATACTAAGCCCGGGCCAACAACATTTAAACACTTGCCAAACAGAAACCTAACTACGTGGGCAGACAAAGATCCTGCAAAGTTATTGCACCCACACATCAGCCATTAATGAGGTTCTTACGGCATTAAATGTCAAACTTGATCTTTTTATACTTTTTTATTTTAGTCTTAACTTATATTCAACCCACTTGCCAAACGGTAGCTTATTATATTGTTATAAGCTTGCAAAGTTAAAACAAGCTTTGTAATTGTTTTTTCAACTCACCACGTCATTTTCTATACAGTTTCGGTGTATATCTAAATGAAAATGAAGAACCTTACTTGTTTTATAATATAAATAATAAAATTTAAAATTTCAGGGAACAATGCTTGATGGTGAAGAAATAGCAGTGAAAAAACTTGCAACATGTTCAATTCAAGGTGTCCAAAGTGTTCTACAATGAAGTTAAAGTGTTACTAAACATACGACATCAGAATCTCGTTCAGTTGCTAGGATGTTGCTCACTAGGAGAGGAGAGGATGTTGGTCTATGAGTACTTGCCAAACAGCAGTCTTGACTACACCCTCTTTGGTAATATTTTGAATGTTTTTCTAATTTTTTAATTAGTGCATAATTAATCATTTAAATTCCAAACTAGATAGACTAATTATTTTATAATAATTACCTTTAAAACAGTAATTGGTGATCCAAAATTGATGCCATATTATTTTTTGTTATTTTTTTCAAATTGCTATTTTTTTAAAAAAAAAATAAAATAAAAATTAGCTCTTTTAAGACTAAAAGGCTCTAAATTTTTTAACAATGGACCACATTAAAAAATCATTTTGTGAATCATTTGCTTATTAGTTTTAGTAAATCGTTTTAATGGTTATGGAGTAGGGATGCATCATGCATAAGATCACTACTCTCTATCTCTCCTTCCAGAAGAGAGACTTAACACGCAACAGCTTTTCTGTGGAACATTTTGATGTGTGATCAAACTATTGAATCAACTTTAACATGTGAGAAAAGATATATAAATAAATAAATTTATACATTCCTCGATTTGATTGCATTAAACTTTATTATTTTAAAATTGAATGTTTATTAAAATAACATTTAATTATTGAAATATCACTGTTATATTTTGGTAAAAAAATTTGTATACATTTTTCTTATGTATGCAATGCGTGGTTGCACATAAGAACAAGAGTGCAGTGCTTGACTAGCAAAAACGTTACAATATTATATTAGGTGTGGGACGAGGCCTTTTGTACCTTCATGAAGATTCTTTATCCTACAAAAAAATTTGTTTTTTTGCGATGGTAAAATACTGTCGCAAATACCCAAAATTCCGTCTCAAAAATTTTTTTGCGTCGGTAAAATACTTTTAGTGACGGCAATAGGGGAGTCGCAACAAATGAGGTCGCTAAAGACCTTTAGCGACGGTGAGACGCCGTCGCGAACTATTGGCGACGGCAAAAATGGCTTTTAGCGATGGCAAAATACCGTCGCCATTAATGTGTAGATATTTGAAGTTTTTTGAGACGACACTAAAATACCGTCGCTAAAAAGGTTTTTGAGACGGCAAAAATACCGTCGCTAAAATGATTATTTGCAACGGCAAAAATACCGTCGCAAAAATGGTTATTTGCAACCGTAAAAATACCGTCGCTAAAGGCCTTTTGTTTCAACTAATTAATGATGCCAATATCTTTGGCGACGGCTATACTACCGTCACAAAAAACCTGCTTCTAATTTTTTTTGACACAGATGTCGTCTCAAAAAAAAAAAAAAATGCAATAAAATTATTAAAAATATGAAAATTACCTGTATTAAATGAAAATAACTAAAAAAACCCGATAATTATATAATTATATAAAAATTCCTGTATATAAATAAAAATTCATCCATAATTAAAATATTATTCCATTCATAACAACACATCATCAAAATTATCCCACTACATAATGTTGCATAATACATACGTAATGCTGTTCACAAATCTAAATAACGTAAATCAAAAATAAAAGTTTTCATCATGATGCTTCCGTGGGTTACAAAAACAAAAGTTTGTCGCAATCTTCACACGCCTGCATTCCACAAGAAGTAAACTGCTACTCAGGAAATATCTGAAAACAAAAAATAAAAATAATTAATGACAATATAATTATGTGTTAATATTTTAATTACAAAAAAACATAAAAAATTAATTACTATATAATTACAAAGATAGTTAAGTAAATAATTTTGGCTAGATAGAAATCCGACCCTAACTCCCAAACCGGAAACCCGATTCGAGTCTCGTCTTCTCCCACAAGTCTCTCGTGCCTAGGCGATCATGTGTGCCAAGTTTCGTGCTAAACCGACCCCTTTTGGTGATTTTGGAGCGTCAACACCTCGAATTCAAGTTTCTGAACACCTCAAATTCAAGTTTTTTAAGAAACAAGTTTGCCTAAAATGATATCCGACTCTAACTCCAAAACCGGGAACCCGATTGGAGTCCCGCTTCTCCCACAAGTCTCTCGTGCCTAGGCGGTCGTGTGTGCCAAGTTTCGTGCCAATCCGATTCCGTTTCGTGAATTTGAGGTGTTAACACCTCGAATTCAAGTTTCTTAAGGAACTAGTTTGCCTAGACCGAAATATGGCTCTAACTCCCAAACCGGGAACCCGATTGGAGTCCCGTCTTCTCCCACAAGTCTCTCGTGCCTAGGCGGTCGTGTGTGCCAAGTTTCATGCCAATCCGACCCCGTTTGGTGACTTTGGGCTGTGAGCACCTCGAATTCAAGTTTCTTAAGGAACTAGTTTGCCTAGACCGAAATAAGGCTCTAACTCCAAAACCGGGAAACCGATTGGAGTCCCGTCTTCTCCCACAAGTCTCTTGTGCCTAGACGGTCGTGTGTGCCAAGTTTCGTGCTAAACTGATCCTTTTTGGTGATTTTGGGGCCTTAACACCTCGAATTTAAGTTTCTTAAAGAACTAGTTTGCCTAGAGTGAAATCCGTCTTTAACTCCTAATCCGAGAACCCGTTTGGAGTCTCGTCTTCTCCCACAAGTCTTTTAGCTTAGAATGCAAAGATACATTTTAGCTTAGAATGTAAAGATATACTTGATCTTCTGGTGGTGGTGTATATGGATTCTCGTCTTGTGCAGATTCCCTAAATGCCCGGTGGCCACTCGATGCATCAGGAGCCTATGATAGTCAATGCATAATGTGTTAATCATATTTGAATTTTATACATAATGTTGTGTGAAAATTTAACTATCAAACAATTTAATTTATATCGAACCTGTCTGTTGAGATCTGCACTTGCCCCCTGTGACACGAAGGCCATCATCTCAGCTCTCAGCTGCTGTAAATGTGTAGAGAACTCTGCTCGTAGCTCCTCCCTCAACTCATCCCTTAGCTCTGCACGAACCTGCTGGGTGATCTGAACAATAGTCGATGGCTGAGGTGCTGACTGTGATGGCCCAACACCATCTTTATACACTGCTCTCTGAGGCACAGTTCTCCCGTATGTGCAACAATATCCATGATTGTCATGACCTATCAACTCATGGAAAATGGCATTCCTAGCCTCCAAAGTCCGACAATCCTCAGGTAGCATAGAGAGTTGGCCATTAAACTCATCCTGTATTGAATAAGACATACAAGTATATACAAATTAAGATGGTTGACACACAAAAAATAAAAAATAAACTTTAAATACAATCAAAGGTGTTTGGAAACTACTAAGGTCTGGATAACCTCTGGGTCATCTGCTCTATGTGTCATAAGCCAAACATTCATCTTATCAGTAGACTCCCCCTTATTGGTCATCTACATTTTTTTAGAAATATGAAAATTAGAATCCAAATAATTTGCAAATATACAATGTTTATTTATATACAAAAATAAAACAATAAAATATAAACCTCATGCCGTATCTGAGCGAAAATAGTACGTCCTGTGGTATGAGCTATGTCGTGAGCTCACCGATTATTAGTGTTCCTAGTTGCAATTTTCTATAACAGGTTCAACAAATGTAAATATATAAATATGATTTGTATGTTTACATATCATATATATAACTTATTTGTATACCTCGGCATCGGCAGTACGCCAATACTCCACAAGTTCTTCCCACTGGCTTGGCACAATGTGCAAAGGAACATCATCCTTCAGATTAGGATCTTCGCTTCTAGGCTTGAAATACTTACACTTAATCTTATTCTTGTGATCCTTCCATGCGCTGTTACAGTTTTTCATGCAGATTGGCTTGTACTCCTCTGGACATATATTCATATTGTCTTATAAAACACAATTTCAAAGTTTAAATAATAATAACACAATTTTGGACTTTAAATTTTTGGACAAAAATATACTTTTACCTTCACATCTTTCCAGATAGCATCAAGAATATCATTAGGCACAGTGTTCCAGTCAAGAAAAGTAAGAGGAACAATGTTACCATTTCGCACAATAATGCCAAGTTGAGTAGTTAACTTAGACACGTTATCCCCTATTGGACAGTAATTTTCATCAAATTGTATGTCCAACTTTGTACCAGTACCCCACTCCCTAATGCCCTTGGCACATCCTCTACCACGCCTACTCGAGGTTAATGAAAAACTAACATGACCTACGAGATACAATAAGAATAAACAATATGCAATGATAATAATCAAATGCAAATTTAAATAATGTCAATACAAATCAATTTCTTATACCTGAGAGAGGCTGTGAAGAAGTCGAATGGTCTGAAAAATACAATGAAAATAAACAAGTTATATGTAATGAAAACAAATAAATATATATTTAAATAATTTTCATACAAATCAAAGCAAATTTATATACTTACAGATGGCTCATAAGCCGATGACTCTAGTTGGGATGATAGCTGCTGCGGTGCCACTGATGGTGGATGCACCGATGGTAGGCCTAGAGGCTGAGTAAATGATAGCTGCTGTGGTGCCACTGATGGGGGTCGATGCGGTGGCACTAGTGGCCCCTCTGATGGTGCTCGCTGTGATGCCTCCTCTAATGGTGGACGTACCAATGGTAGGCGCGGAGGCTGAGTAGATGATAGCTGCTGTGGTGCCACTAATGGTGGTCGCTGCGGTGGCTGGTCAGATAGTGGTGGCACTAATGGCCCTTCTGATGGTGATCGATGTGATGCCTCCTCTGATAGTGGTGCCGCTGATGTCCTCTTATGTACCACATCGGACATCATGCGCCGGGGATGATCAGGCTTCCTCTTCTGTCCCATAATAATCTACAAGCAATATAACATTAATTGACATTAGAAACATAGACAATGATTTGTCATCAACTATATATGACATTAATTGAACTAATACAATTACAAAGACAAAGTAAATTAAGAAACTGATGATTAACTACAACCTTGGCCTTAATTGAACTACTGATGTTGATTAAATATCAGCATATTTGAACATCAACTGTTTCCCCTACTGCAGCTTACCTCACCCAACCAACTTCTTTATCACGAAGCGTTATATTTTCTTCCAATTGTTGGCTCATATATGGCTCGATTTGTGGATCAGTTGAACTCATATCAAATAAACCTCTTTGTGACATCTTCACTGCCACTTGCCAGTCTGGTTGTAATGGGTCTGCAACATACCAAACTTGCTCTGCTTGGGATGCCAAGATGAAAGGTTCATTGGTAATTCGATCATCTCGGTACAACAAATGATTGAAGTTGACTAACGTGAAATTGAAGACATCTTATATCTTCCCGTGAATGTTGTCAATCCAATCACACTTAAACAACACATGCTTCTTCTCATTGGAATATCGAATCTCAACAATATCTGTCAATTGTCCATAATAGTACACAGACCCCACACGAGGATTCTTGTCTTTTCGACTAGCATAACTTATGGTATCTGCCTTCAAAGCTACACCACAATTTTGTGTGGCTCGATGGTCATCCATGGCCTTTACTCGATACCGAAACCCATTCATTATATACCCGTTGAACCTCCTTGCCAGGTTGTGAGGACCATTTGCCAATACAATAATCTCTTCAGAAAATGTGACATAACTAGTCCTTCGCAAAGTTTGAACCTATTTTAAAAAATAAAAATTTTAAATTTTAAAATGTAGTTCGACTTAGGTAAATAGAATCTGTAGATTTAAATACATACATGTTCCTTGAACCAAATGTGAAAAGTTTTAAAATGTTCACGCCGAAGCTGATGATCGTCAACACGAGGCATTTTGACCTTAAGTTCTTCAAGGTGTTTGCTGTGTAGATTGAAATTTTATCAAAAAACAAAATTTGGTTCAAAATTCAATGAAACATAATAAAATATTAAGTGAGTGACATAACTTACTTTATGAATGGTTAAACCGCGGACGTATTGAATAAGACAAATCGATGAGTTTGTGCCTAAGAAGTGTTATCAAGATAAAAGCTTGTGATTTCACCAACAGCACGACCCAGATTATCATCACCACTGTAGTTCCTCACGGGTCGATTAGATTTAGTTTCCACATCATTGAGATATTGTGCATAAAAATTTATGCATTCTTCCATAAGATATCCTTTAGCAATTGAACCTTTTGGATGAGCTCTATTACGCACATATTGCTTCAAAGTAAGAAAATACCTCTCAATTGGATACATCCATTGAAAGTGAATCGCTCCACCCAATAATGTTTCGTCAGCTAGATGTATAGGCAAGTGCTCCATTATATAAAAAAAAGTAGGAGGAAATATTTTCTCTAGATGACAAAGTGTTATGGCGATACGATCTTGAATATATTGCAAATCCATTGCACGATTCACTTTGGAACATAATTGTCTAAAGAAATTGCTCAATTCAATCAAAGGTTCAATTACATTCTTCAGTAACGATCTTCAAATGGCCAATGGAATTAGTTGTTGCATCAGAATATGACTATCGTGGCTCTTAAGACCCCCAATACTTCTATCATGTAAGCGCACGCAACGCGATATATTGGATGAATACCCGTCGGGAACTCTAACTTCCTTCAATACTTTCAAGAACAAATCTTTCTCATCCTTGGTCATCGTGAATTGTGCCGGTGGTAAATAAGCTTTATTCGACCCTCTTAACTGCAAATGTAAGGGTTTTCTAATATTCATTTCTTGTAAATCACGCCGAGCATTAACACCATCCTTCGATTTTCCTGCAACCCCTAATATTGTCCACAACACATTGTCACAAACATTCTTCTCTATATGCATCACATCGAGGTTGTGTCTAATTAGATTGTGTTCCCAATATGGCAGTTCATAGAAGATACTCTTTTTCTTCCAGCTGTGGGTGCGATGTCTAGCTTTCTCCTTCTCTACTTGTCTCCTATGCCTCTCCTTAAGGTCATCCCTCTTGTATTGGGTTAAAATACCCTCAGATTCTAATTGTAGCAGCATCTCAGTTTCAGACAACAATTTTGGTTTGAATCTAACTTCCTGACTACCATTAAATGATACTTTATCCGTTCAGAATTTATGGCTACTAGGTAAAAATCTGTGATGACCAAAGTATGATTGTTTCCTACTATGCTTCAACCAACACGATGTAGTTTCCCTATTGCAACAAGGACATGCATATTCGCCTTTAGTGCTCCATCCTGACAAGTTTGCATATGCAGGAAGATCACTAATTGTCCACAGTAAAGCTGCATGCATTTGAAACATTTGATTTGTTGATCCATCAAATGTGGAGACACCATCATTCCATAGTTCTTTCAACTCCTCAATCAACGGTTGCATATACACATCAATCTTGTCACCAGGTCCCTTCGGGCCGTCAATAAGCACAGATAAAATTAGAAATGGTTGTTTCATGCACATCCATGGCGGCAAGTTGTATGGAATGAGTACGATAGGCCAAGTGCTATGAACTATGTTTATCGTCCTGAATGGGTTAAAACCATCAGATGCTAAGCCAGGCCTTACACTTCGGCAATCATTACTAAAGTCAATATTCCGATGATCAAAATCTTTCCATGCAAGGGAGTCTGCAGGATGCCTAAAGACACCGTCATTAGTTCGTTCCTCTGCATGCTATCTCATGATCTTAGCCGTCTTAGATGACATAAACAACCTCTGCAACCTTGGCTTTAAAGGAAAGTACCTCATTTGTTTTGCAGCTATTCATTTGCCACCGTTGTGAGGACTATTTGAACCACCATCACCATTTGATTTCCATCTTGAACTGTTGCATATGACACATTTATCAAGATTGGTGTCCTCGTTTCGAAACAACATGCAATTGTTGGGACATGCATCCCACGTCTCATATGTGGAGCCCAAATCTGTTGTGACCTTTTGAGCTTTATAATATGAGTCCAGGAGTTTCACACCCAACGGGAACGCCTCATTCAATAACTCAAGCAACATGTCAACAGACTTGTCTGTCCACTGATTAAGCACCTTCAAATGTAGAAGTCGAACAATGAATGACAAAGATGTGAACGTCTGACAACCCGGATACAATTCACTTTGTGCATCTTGAAGAAGTTTGAAATACTTTGCAGTCTCTACATTTGGACCGAGCTGGGGTTCAGATGCACGGGGATCAGGCCCCTGTGGTTCATCACCCTCAACACTTGTACCAGCATGTGGATTTCCCACAGCCCCTTGTATCATTCCAACCATATCATCACACAGTGAGCACCTTTAAAATCTTAAAAGATTCTTACAAAACTGCAGTTACTTACCCTAGTATTCCTATGGCAACATAAGTTTTCAATTAGCCCAAGCACCAATAGTAACAAAAATAAGGAACATGTAACAAACCTAAAAAGTGAAAGTATCTCAAAAAAAAAAAAAAAAAATTCAAACCATTCCCAAACATGAAACAAAGACAAAGAACCATATGTGTGTGCGTGTGTGTGGGGAGAGAGAGAGAGACCAACAGAAATTCAGCAAGAACTTGAAAGAATATTATTACCCTTAAGAAATGTTGACAGCTACATAAATAGTTCAATTTAAATGCACTTTGCGTAAAACATCATAATCACATTCAATAATCAACAATAACAAAAGAAGAAGAGCAAGGAAAACACAAAGTTTCAAAGAGCGAAAAGGGAACTACTCTTGTTACCTGCTCCTCCTGTTTGGCCTTTGCTGCTCTTTCCACTTCCACTTCAGCAGACTTTAGTTCAGATATATATTCATTAAACAAAATCTCCCTATCTCGTGCTTAATAGATTTGTATCTGGGGTCGTTCCTTAGACTATCCTTCACCTATCACAATCAATTATTAAGAATTTTAAGGTATATTTGAAAAAACGAGAAGAAAAATAAAAGGACCTATATTGATTATTGAAAGGTTTTAGAGACCAAAGCATCCCACTTGTATATAAATTCGACAAGATGACAAAACAAAAATTTCTTACCAGATTTATGTAACCCAATTGTGAACGTAATGTTTATTTAGAGAAGGATGTGACACAAAATAATAATAGGAAAAAATCAGTTTCAGGTTTTCTGAAGCTAATTATCAATCTTCAAAATCTACATAATTCAAGGTTTTTGCATAAATGAGGTGATAATAATAGGAAAAAATCAGTTTCAGGTTTTCTGAAGCTAATTATCAATCTTCAAAATCTACATAATTCAAGGTTTTTGCATAAATGAGGTGATAATAATAGGAAAAAATCAGTTTCAGGTTTTCTGAAGCTAATTATCAATCTTCAAAATCTACATAATTCAAGGTTTTTGCATAAATGAGGTGATAATAATAGGAAAAAATCAGTTTCAGGTTTTCTGAAGCTAATTATCAATCTTCAAAATCTACATAATTCAAGGTTTTTGCATAAATGAGGTGATAATAATAGGAAAAAATCAGTTTCAGGTTTTCTGAAGCTAATTATCAATCTTCAAAATCTACATAATTCAAGGTTTTTGCATAAATGAGGTGATAATAATAGGAAAAAATCAGTTTCAGGTTTTCTGAAGCTAATTATCAATCTTCAAAATCTACATAATTCAAGGTTTTTGCATAAATGAGGTGATAATAATAGGAAAAAATCAGTTTCAGGTTTTCTGAAGCTAATTATCAATCTTCAAAATCTACATAATTCAAGGTTTTTGCATAAATGAGGTGATAATAATAGGAAAAAATCAGTTTCAGGTTTTCTGAAGCTAATTATCAATCTTCAAAATCTACATAATTCAAGGTTTTTGCATAAATGAGGTGATAATAATAGGAAAAAATCAGTTTCAGGTTTTCTGAAGCTAATTATCAATCTTCAAAATCTACATAATTCAAGGTTTTTGCATAAATGAGGTGATAATAATAGGAAAAAATCAGTTTCAGGTTTTCTGAAGCTAATTATCAATCTTCAAAATCTACATAATTCAAGGTTTTTGCATAAATGAGGTGATAATAATAGGAAAAAATCAGTTTCAGGTTTTCTGAAGCTAATTATCAATCTTCAAAATCTACATAATTCAAGGTTTTTGCATAAATGAGGTGACATGAACACCTTAACAGGAACAAATGCAAGATGAATGAAAAACAGTTTCATATATATATATATATATATTAATATTTTTTTTAGACAATAGTACAACTAGAAAGCATTTATAAACACCACACTTGACATCAAAAACATAAAAGCCAGCAGTTCCTAATTAAGCTCAGCCTCCCTAAGAAGCATAACAACAAACACCATAGCTACAAACCAGCAAACACCTTAACAGGAACAAATACAAGTTGAATGAAAATAAAAGCAGTATCATTTACCTCTTCTTCTCTTTATAATCACCAACCAATACACCAAGGAGATGATAATCAGAAGTGATATGACCACAACAAATGTCACCACAATGACCACTATCTTTCCATGTAAACTTCTGGCCTTCTTTGAATATTGTTGAGCTGCACTTATTAGAAATACAAAAGCCAAATGTTAATGGAAGTTCCTCAATTTGTTCATGAGAAAGACCAGAATATCATTGTTAAAATAAAATGTAATATTAATACTAATAAAAAGTAAAAGTGTAATCAATAAAAATACTAACAAAGTTGTTATATTTGTAATAATGCCTCGTATGGACAAAGGGGTTAGGTACACACACTAGGAGCAATACTGAGTTGTTATATTTGTAATTTAAAAGCATTATTTAATGTAAATATAATAATGAATTGAAGTGGCATAAACTAATTTCTTCAATGAACAATATTTATTGTGGAATATCAATAATTAGTCTAATCTTCAACTTCGGATTAACAGCAAATAGATGTCGCAAAAAAAACAGAGAAGCAAATTATTCAATGGTTTCTTATTGGGCATTAACTAAGTGACCAACAATAATAGTCCTTAAGAAAATCTACCATTGTGTCATGAATTTGCAGTCAATCCTCAAGCCAACATGAAAACTGATGACATTCACCATTCATTTATTAAGTTAATAAAAACCACAGATGTCACGACTTACTGGATCCCAAACTAATAATTGGCGTACTAATCGCAAAGCCCAAACATTAGGAAACCTGCACAAATTGAGAAACAAGCTTATGACAAACCAAAATTACCAGTGAATATAAAATATAGTTATTATATAAAAATTTATTATTAGAAACTGACCCTATTTTGAGAGCATTTCCAGGAAGCTGGTGAAAATGCAGAACACAGAATCAAGTATCACACAATCACAAATACAAATCAAAGAATCAAAGATTACATGTCATAGAAACCCAAGATTCCTCAAAAACCCATATGAAATCCGTCTATATTTTCGATTATTTTCACCCAAACGGCAAAGTTTAAATTTGCATATTAAACATGGAAGAGAATTTATAATTTCTGAATGTCTATGCTACATCAGAACATGCATACTTATGAATGCATCCCAATAACACCAACATATATTATTGACTAATTAGCCAACCCCAATCACAAAGAGTTGATAAACAGAACTAAAATAAAATAAAAATTTAGATTACAGATTGACATAGAGGTCATAACCATTTGTTTCTGTTAATTATATGATCAAAATAATGAGGTATCTCTCAGTAATCTCAAGCAGACTAGTAATTACAAGAATTCATTCGGGCATGTTGGGCTACACACTTTTCGGTGGACCTAGCAGAACTGTGTTATTTTTGGTTCTTGATGTTTCAAATATGTCAATTTGGTCCAGTCTACAAATTTGGTCACTAAATAATTTCTACCTCCATTTCCATCTACAATTGATAACAAAAATAAAGGCATTTTCATCAAATTATCTGTATTGAAATTGAATAAGTTGGAGACTAATTGATACAATTAAAACATGGGGACCAATTTGAAACAAATCACATACTCGGGAGAAGAAAAAAAAAATTCTAATATGCTTAATAAAATATGATGGGGCTTGAACTCCTAAGACTGCTTGTATCTCAAATTTGTTAAGGTAATGGGAAAAAAATTGAAAATGAAATAAGGAAATTGATTCATACATTGATTTTATTTATTTTTTTGGGTCAATCGGTATAAATGACCTATACAGAAGAATTTACTAGTCTATATGAAAGAATTTAATTATCCAACAATGGCCTATAATGAGCCAAAAGAAAAGAGCTGGACAACACAGACCGGACAGAAGCAATTTCGTAAATAATTTCCCTTATAAACATCATATATATATAAGGGAAGAGAGAGAATGACTCTTTATTTGCTGGGAAAAATACTCTTCAGAGCATTTCCAGGAAACTGGTGAAAATGCAGCCTGGTTTCAAAGCAATGTACTTGCATTAGTATTACATGTGAAAAACTAATGAATATCTCACCCTTTTAATGAATTTCCAGTTGATAGTCACTCGTCGCTCACACTTGACTCCAAATTCTCACCCTTAAAATGTTCAGTCGTTCACAGTCTTGCCTCGTCACTCGTCATTCGCAGTCGTTCACCTTCGTTCTTGCCTCGTCACTCGTCGTTCACAGTCGATCATCACTCGTCGTTCACAGTCGCTGCCTCGTCACTCCGGCGAAGGCCGTCGTTCAACCTCCTTCACTCCGGCACTGAATGATTTTCATTTGAGGGTTTTGGGATTTAGGTTTTAATAGTTAGATCAATGGACTGGAATTTTGGGGATTTTGGTTTGGTGATTTTAGGGATTTTAATTTGAGGATTTTGGGGATTTTAGCATGACCGCGAATGGGAGAAATGAGCGGGATGTGAAATATTTGTTTTTGCGACGCCATATATACCATCGTCGCAAATGATACATCATTAACAAATTAAAACGACGTCGGTTTAAAAATATTTTTTTTACGACGGTATTTTGCCGTCGCAGATGGTCCAATTGCGACAGTAACTATTTACCGTCGCTAATAATACTTTTTGCGACTATATACCGTGCGTCACAAATGTTTCTACATTTTTCTTTTACAATCATTAGTGACGGAGGTAATCCCTGTCGTAAAAGACCTTTTTTTTCTCAACGGTAGATAAACGTTGTCGCAAAATACTTTTTTGGCGACGGCAACTGTAATGCGTCGCAAAAAATTTTTTGCGACGGCAGTGACCCCGTCGCAAAAGCCTCTGTGTTATTTGCCAGGTTTTCTTGTAGTGTTACCTAGAATCATACATAGAGATATCAAAGTAAACACATGAATTAAAAAATATCAGACTTGAAGGGGCTAAATGTGAAATGGGTCGGATCCAAGCCTTGGGCCGGCCCAATCCATTGAAGTTTGAATCCAAGTGGGCTGGATGAGTATATGGGCAAATCAATTGAGCCCAACTTCATGATCAACAGTCCACCCAGGTCCTCAAGCACTTAGGCCCAACCTGTAGTGGAAAGACTAGTCCAGCCATGGTGCTGGGCTAGGCCGAGTTGCAAGACTGAACCTATGGGCCGAGCAGAAAATGGACCGAGCCCATACAAAGATATCCGAATGGATCAGCCCATCTCCATGAATGATCCTGTAAAAGGTCGAGACAAGGCATAATGATGCCGAGCTGAGGCACATCGGTATCGAGCTGAGGAAACCTCGCAAGGAAACGTGGAAGTTGTGAATGCGTGCATGTGCAAGTTGCCACCTCAGTTGGTCCCCTACACCTAGAATCACGGAAGTTGTTGAATCAGAGGAATGTGGTTTGTTATCAGCATGACTATAATGAGTATATGCATTCAATAACAACTACCAGGTGGTCCCCCACCTTGAGCAATGCTAAAAGGACACCTGGCAGCATCCAAACTCCATGAACCCACCTTGAGAAACAAACAAGGAACACTATATATACAACATGAACTTCACACTGAAAGTAACAAAAACGATTCCAAGTAAAACTACAAGCTCAACTCGATATACATTCTCTCTCTCTGATCATTAATTCCCACACCAAAGGGGTTATCCGGCCAACCCCAGCCGGGCAGCTCTAACGGTGCTTTTTGTGGCAGGAACTTCAGTCCCTGGATAGTCCAACTGAGTGCGGAGCCCTGATCCACTTTCATCTAGTATGGAATCCGGTACGCACAAGACTTTAGATCGGCAAAGCTGTTTCCTGAGGAACAAGGCCATCTAAGAACTATCCAGATTGCAGGAACATCGTAAGCTTTATTAATATTCATCTGCATAGACTAATACAAATTTTAGAATTAATAAGCATTTTCCCCTTCTCTTTTCTTGTCTATATGAAAACCAAGCTTTTTTTATTTTTTATTTTTTTTATTTAAATTTTATAGTGGCTATATGACTCATGAATATTTAAATCAAGACTTTTTGTTAGCGAAGAGTGATGTATATAGTTTTGGTGTGCTGATATTAGAAATTATAAGCGGAAGAAAGAACTATGATACCATATCCTATAAGGAACAAGAAGGGCTCTTAATAGTGTAAGTACAAAATAAATCTTTCTCCTCAATGATACCATGTACATACATAAATCAACTGATTCAATGCATTGAAGTACTTTTAATTGTCGTTGTCACTTTAAATTTTTTTTCCACTTAAGGTGGGTTTTGGTGACTTAGACATTGCGGGTGCAAATCCTATTTTATTCGAGGCCATTTTAGTTGTTAACGTTTTACCTAGCTACAATCTGCTTTGCAATCGCTACATGAAATTTCTCAACTAGACAAGCAAGAATTGATGCTTTAGATATGAGCTGTGTATACTTGCTTATCATAAATTAATGGGCACCGTAATTTTATTCTATTCTTTACTTATTATATCATTAAAACATATCATATTTCAATTTTTAAAATTTTATTATTACATGACAAACCAGTAAGTTAAAATTGTTTGTACATTGAAAAGATACTATTCGTACAATATTTATATGCAAAATTTGTTACTAGAATGATGTGGTGGTGTTCTTATAATTAAATATAATTCAAATGGGTATTTTGTTTGAAAATGTTAAGTCCAATCCAGTCACATCATTCTCTATTTACAAATTTTATATACATTTTTTGTTTGTATATCTTTGCACTTTTACATTTTGTTACATTTTGTATACAAATTAACAATGAAGAATTAAAGAGAGAAGAAATATATAATTAAAAAAAAAAACTCAAACAAGAAGATATAGAACCAAAATATACAAAATAACAACAAACAAGCAAAAACATGAAGCAAAATTATTGAACAAAATGGAGAAAGAGGGGTGGCAAGAGAAAATTAGCAATCCGAGAGAGAGAAAAAAGTCTGCGAGATCTAGGAGGATGGAGTCCAGTAATCCAAAAGCAAAGAGTAAGGAAACCAGTCTTTGATTCTCCTCATCAAGGGTTGTTCACTGTGTTTGTCGATGAGCTGACATAGTCCATGAATCCGAAGCAACTGCTTGGGCTCTTCACTAAATTCGGAATAGTGAAAGATGTCTACATACCCATGAAAAGAAGGAAGGTAACCGGTCCAAGATTTGGGTTTGTCCGATTTGATTGTCTAGTGGCTGCAGAAGTGGTTGTGCAGAAAGCAAATGGTCTATGGTGGGACAATAAGGAACTCAAAGTTAAGGTAGTAGAGTATCAAAAAGGGCAAGGAATGCAGGTAACCGAAGAAAAGCCCTTTCTTCGTCGTCATGTGGGTCATCCAAATGTCAGCATCAAATCCATGCAGGGCCAACATCAAAGACTTCAACTAGTAAGGCTCACTTCCTATGCAGATATGGTAAAGAGGGGGATTTCTTTCCAAAATAGTCTGATGTCTATCCAAGCTAAGGAAGTTGGGAATGCTTGGCTTTATGAGAGCTTAATCATTAAACTTAAGTCCTTTTTTGCATTCTCAGATTTTGTGAAAGAATATAGGAGAAGAGGGCTTCAGAACACAATTATCAGAATGGGAAGTGGAAGATTAGCTGTGTTAACTTTTAATTCAACCCAAGAGATGAAGAGCCATGAAGTGAGTTTAAAGGATTGGATATTTGACTGGTGCGATTCACTTCAAGAATGGCAAGTTGGAACAGTTATTGATCACGAGAGGTGTGTTTGGCTTAGTTGCTTTGACATTCCTTTTAATTTATGGAATGTTGAAACATTCAGAAGTTTAGGTGCCTCATGGGGGAGAAATGGTGCAATTTGATGAGAACAGTACCAGAGGAATCTCCTTTCAATGTGGTAAGGTTAGAATTATAACCAGTTGTATGGATTTTA